GGTTAGCCCTAGCGGCGGCACCCGGCGGCACACGCAGCGGCAGCAGCAGCAGCAGCAGCAGCAGCACTAAATTAACACTTCAAAAAATCCTTTCGACCTGTTCCCTTTGGGGGAAGTCTGTCAGTTCGTGTCTCCTGGACAATAGTTACAGCAGATTATTCTCACTGAAGGTTCTCCACTCATCTCTATAGATTTGTCCACCTACTGCCCCCAGCTCTGAATCCAAACAGGGAGGTTCGCATCAGGAGGAGGCGTCGGGTATAAACACTGAGCCAGATGATTCTACAGGCCACAGTTCTGCTGACCCCTGATGTTTGAGTTGTTGAAATCTCCTTTATATTATCAACGTCCCTTATATCAGTGGTTCCCAACCTCTGTGCCATGGAAAATGATCCAATTTCACTTAATTGGGCTATTATTTATTAACTATTATTTATTTATTTTCATATATTTTTTTTCTTTGCTATTTATTTATTTATTTTCATATATTTTTTTCTTTGCTCTTCAAAGCATGAAAGATGGAACAATAAATACTCTTCTGCTAGGGGGCAGCATGTCTTTCTTCAATTCCTGCCAGTATATCAGAGTGGTCTTCAACTAAACGGGCCGAGATTTTAGTAAATTATGAGGTCATTTAAACTAGAAGATTTCATTAGATATACTTTTTGTGAGATCTGTGTTTGATGATGTGCCGTGGGATTTTTTCCTGATGATATATCTGTCCCGTGGCTCAAACAAGGTTGGGGAACACGAGATCTGTGTTTGATGATGTGCCGTGGCTTAAACAAGGTTGGGGAACACTTATATGTCTTATATCACCTCAACATGCATCATGACTCTCGACCAGTGGTTCCGTCTATGTGTCTTGTATTCAATTCCAAATTCAATTTCATTTCACCTCACTGATATGCATCATGACTCTCGACCAGTGGTTCAGTCTATGTGCCTTGTATTTATTTCCAAATTCAATTTCACCTCACTGAGATTTCCTCCCTCCTCCAAACACATAGAAATTAGGGATTATATTGATCAGTTTCTTTCATGGACCCCAGGTATGAATGTGAGTGTGAATGGTTGTTTGTGTCTGTATGTGGTCCTGGAAGTGACGTACCTGGAACCATCCCCAAAGAGCAACCCCTGCAGCAAAAACTGAATGCACTTTTTTCTTTTTTTTAATCTTATTAAAATTCACTTGGCTTTCTCTCTAATTCCCCAAACAGCACGATGGTTTGTTCAGCACAAGATCATTATGCAAATGACTTGTAAATACTGCACTACTATATCAAGACAAAAACGAAAAGAAAAAAAAAGACACAAATGTGGATTATTACTTTTGCTTGAAAGAAAATTGCTTCCTGCAGCTTCATAAACTGATTAAAGATCTGCCCAGGTGAGTTCAGTCCCCGCTCGCTGCAACAAAACAAATCGCACAACTTAAAAAGATTTGAGAGCAATGAGCTCTAATAATACGGCGACTATCTGCGCAAATCATCAGGTTGCATAATCACCAGCTGTCACTGTCAAATTAAAGCTCCGACTACAAAGAGATTCTTGAAACCTGAAACCAATGCAGTGGAGGTTTAGGTTTAGGTTTGGGGAGACAATACGATACGTCCACCTGTCTCGCAGCCTGAGAGGACAGATAACAAACGGATCATTAAAAAAATGGACCATGATCCTCTTTTTGTCTTTTTCTGCACAGCAGGAGACGAAGGGTTCAAAATGACGCCTACACCTGACGGCAACCCCGGAGATAATGAAGTCCTACAAAAGAGCGTTTATCTGCATCCAGAGGCTTTAGCATTAATCATGCATGAGCTTCTAAGTGTGTGTGTGTGTGTGTGTGTGTGTGTGTGTGTCATTAAAACAAAGTCAGTGTCTTATTTTCTGTTGTCTGAGATTAAGACTGCGGCAGCTACACTGTCCTCGGGGCAGACTGAATTTTCATCACTCGTCAAGCTGCTGTGAAATCTGTCTCCAGAGGTTTTTTGGAGAAATACTAAAATGATGCTCTGGGGCTATTTTGGCTGAATTAAAATTAAAACTCTCTGCACCTATGAAAGGAAGCCACACATATATCTATATTAACTTTTATAATAAATCAATAATATACATATCTGTGTAGGTTCTTAGTACGTAGTATCTAAGTAGTTACATTGAGGGCAACGCAATATTTTAAGTATTTGTATTTTGTACTTTTTTTGACATAACGCTGCAAAACTACGTTCTAGACATTTATTCCTCTGCAGAATCAGATTTTTAAAAAAACATTCACCAATTTTAAAAACACTGCGTGAATATAGAGCAACAACTGTGTCCCAGTTCTATTCCCTTAATAATATTGGCTGAATTTAGCTTCTCAGTCTATAGACAGGGAACGACACCGCAGATAATTGGACCTTTGGGTATACGTACTTAACACTAGGTCGTCTTTAAATGAAGCGACCTTAACACTAGGTCGTCTTTAAATGAAGTGACTTGACTGAAATGCGCCAACAGGAAGTTGGAAACTTTTAATAAAATAAATGATCTTCACCCTTCTGCTAGTTTTATATACCAGAAAAAAAACGAAGTAGTCCTGAAGACTTGCACTGCACACTAAGACCAGCTCTGGTGATAAAAAATAAAAAATAACATTAAGTTAATGATCATATTTTGTTGATTTATCATTCATGTTGTGGGGCAGTAACTTCAGAGCCGGCTGACAGTTGAGAGGAACCAGAGAGTGATGTGTCATTCCTTATCTCTCTTGGCTCATATGAAACACATCTTCTCTGTCAGGTGTGGGTAAAAAAGAACTGCTTCCCCTTTTTGTTCTTTTAAAACTCTCAGACACAGCCATTTCCCTGGGGGCCGAGCAGAACTCAGCAGGCGGACGACAATCACAACCTCTCACTGTGTCTGCTATTGTTGCTCTGGCAGAATACAAAGGAGCGGATCAGAGAAGAAAGAGCAGCAGACATATTTTTTCCCTCTGCAGCGGTGATGCCAGTGGTGGTAAGTTTGACTGCTCACACGTACGAGTGTGACGGGAGAATACGTGACGCTACGCAGGTGCAGTGATTTTTACATCACGCCTGTGGTCGTCTTCAGCCCAGGCCGAGGCTTGGCGCGGCCGCAGCTGATTGCACGTTAGGTGGAACAGCTCACCGTGGTCGGTGTGAGCCACACGGGCTAATGCTGCAGGTGTATATATGTGCTATTGTGGGTAAGACTTGTCATCAAGTCGCCCTCCGGGGGCAGAGCAGGACAGGATTGTCTAACAATCTAATTAGCCTGCCTTTATTTGATGGCAGTGGGCAGAAGGCCCAGAGTCAGAGCTACAAACAACCACGGTTAAAGGGACGCACTCACTTTTTGGGAACAACAAACAACAAATAAAACACAAGTACATGGTATTAAAAAAACTATTGTGTAGTTGCAAAAACAATACCTGTATAATTTTTCATGCTTTGGATAAGACGATTACAGTAAGGTACGGAATCACGTGTCTACGTACGCACCAACTCTCTTCCTTCACTTCCTCCCCCACATGCCGCCATTAGCCGCTACTGTATCGTCCGTCTCGAAGGTAAGAAGTCAAAAATAAAACCACATTTTATTTTATATCACAGGAATCCTAGCACCAATCAGGGAGTGTTTTAGGGAGAACCGGAACAGATTCATTTATTTCGTATGAGGAAAAAATGATGAACAGATTCATTTATTTCGTATGAGGAGAAAATGATTCAAGTTATGAGCTCGGTCCTAGAACAGATTATGCTCATATCTCGAGGTTCCACTGTGCTCAGGTTTATTATCACTGACCAGCGGCCTTCAACACAGGTCACTAATGCGTTCCAGCTACAGTATTTTCCTTCTTTCTTTCCAAATGCAGCCACATGAGGTCAAAGTCTTTCTCCGTGTGTCAGAGCCCATTTATTATCACGTATTCAGCTGCTGACAGTTCCTGTAAATTTCTGTCAAAGGATGGACAAATTTACCAAGACAACTTTTTTTGCCCTTGCCCGTGTGCTCCTCGTCACAGTATCAATCTTGGTTTATACAGTACGTGCCGCAGCAGGCACCGCAGCCACCGCTGAGCAGATTTGTCTTTGCGAGGAGCTATGAGATCGGAGACAATCATATCGTGCAGGGTTTTTGAAGAGGACGATTCATCAGGTAATTAACACAGTCACAGAGAATGGATTTGAAGGATGTATCAGGCACTGTTGGAGACGCTCCCGTCTCATCTCCAATCTGTCACATATCCATTTTAACATTGATTTCTTAATATTTCCTGGTCTAAGAATCTAAAAATGTAATATTGTAGTAGCATGGTTGACATGGTTGCCTGTCTGGCCTGATTCTTCAGAGTAAAGAACAGTGGGGTTGTTTAAGCGTTTTTGTTTCAATGTAAAGTAAAGAACAGTGGGGTTGTTTAAGCGGTTTTGTTTGGTTTTTTTCCAATGTAAACACACAATAATTTGAGTGGCAATTGTCAGAAACTGCTGGTTCGATTAGTTTCAGCTCAGCTATTGTGTTTGTGCGTGGGCTGGGTCTCCTGAACCCAGTGAAGAGCGCACAGATATAGAAAACTCTGCAGAACACATGGAGAACGGATGCCTGAACTCGGCTGTTTTGTGTTTGTGTATTCACTGTGTCATGTTTGTAATGACAAACTGCTGCTTTCGCAAACAGATGACGGATGACATATCAGTAAACACGTTGCTCAACACGGACACTGTGTGGGTGTGAATATGTTATAATAAATTCAGGCAGAATTCTGGCATGTTCCGGACACAAAAAAATGTGGAAAAAATGAACTTTTAAGGATTCATTTAGAGGTTTGGGGGCGATGATTGGGTCTAGACATCTCATTTTGTCTCCAGTCAGTAAACGTTTGGTTGATGTGACCTGCTTTGCCTCCTCGTAAGCTTCACCGCTGCCTCTGACCGCCTCAGGCCTCCTTCCCCTTTATAAGCTGCAAACATCATTGTCTCAATCTTTCCTCTACTTCTCTCATTCAAACAAAGTCTCTCCCCCTCTCTCTCTCTCCCTCTCTCTCTCTCCTCCTCCTCCTCCTCCTGCTGCTGCTCTTCCTCCTCCCTTTGTCTGCCTTGCCTGCCTCCTTTCATTTCATTTCTCCTCCACTCTCTCCTCCCTCTCTCACTCTCCTCTTCCCCTCCTACCGTTTGGACTGCAGCAGTCTCTCCTCAGCCTCGTGTCTGTCTCTGAGCAGCCTCTGCAGGTGAAGGATCTCCCTCTGGTAAGAAGCTGTCTTCCCCTCTGCTGCCTCCTCCAACGCTGCCAGTCTGCTTGACGCCTGCTTCCGATACACCTGCAGACACAAACACACACACACACACACACACACAGCAATGAGATGTGGAGTGCCTCTGTAAAAAAAGTGGATATACATGAAGGACAGCGCAGCAGAGACAACTGGAGTGGAGGAGGGGGAGTCACAAACATTAGGACAAGGTGAGCAACACCACACACACACACACACACACACACACACCTGCAGGTCTTGTGTGTGTTTCCAGAGATGAGTCCTGATGTTCTTGATGTCTGTGCCTTTTACTGATGACTGACAGTCGAGTTTAAGACTTCATTAACTTTAGGGAGGCTGCAGCCACAGACAGGCATCTGTTGAACAGCCTATACTTCATAACTGCTGTGAGCACACACACACACACATGCACACACACACACACACGACTCATACAAGTGGAATACATGTTTGTGGATGTTTTTTTCCTGCAGCGACTGCAGCAGCAGAGTCAATACCAGTTAAATGACACTTAAACGGACAAATAATTATTGAGCAGAGAAAAACAAGAAGGAACACAGAGGGTGAGGACGGAGACTCTGGCTGCCCTTTGTGGAGGACATAAAGATTTAGAATTAGGAAATAAACGTGGTCTCATTGAGAGAACACACACACACATACACACATATACACACACACACATGTGGTTCTTTTCTACCAGTTTAGTGATAAACAGTGTTAACATTTCTGTCAGCTCGAAAAAGTTGTTTTTCCTCAGCCTTAATCATCTAAGATGGTCTAAAATCTTTTCCTTGACATGTTTGCTGTTTGCTGTTTCTTATTGATGTACGAACGTGTTTAATCTATAAGATTTTTTTTTTTTTTGGTAACCCGTCGACATATTTCCTTTTACAATTACCCCATCGTAACGGTGGCGAGTTGTAATTATCCAGACAAGAATATTTTATTCCCCAGTCTGCTCCGTACTGTGGTTCACCAAAAGTGACAGGAAACACCAGTCACTTCACGTATCCCTGCTCCTTAGATTGCCTCTGTGAGTTGAGCAACAGCAGGGATTAATAGCTTTCACCATAGCCTTCTACGAGGTTCAGGTTTGTTTTCTTTTTCTTCCTTCTCACAGTTAGAATATGCAATCGTGGCAACTGAATGCAAATGAAAGCAGTGCAGCAACAGAGAGGTCCCCCCCCCCCCCCTGCCCCCCCCCAAAAAAGGCAGAGAATTTAATCATTTCTTACAGAATAAATACTAATGTATTCATTTAAACCAAGGTCATTGTGCCGTTATCTGTGCATGTCTGGACCACCTGCTACACAGGGAAGCTATTGCCACTTTGAATATATGCACATGGCGGTTATGTAACTAACCATACCCCCCCCCCAAAAAAAAACCCAAAACAATTTTATGTATAAGGTTGTGAGTGTAGAAAACACCATTTACAGAGTGCTAAAAAGTACTGAGTTTAACTATATTATGATATACTATAATTCGTACTTTAGTAAACAAAACTAGACTTGACTTAACTGGACTGACTGTTTCTGTTTACTGTTGTCCCAAAACATACAGGAAATATAATGGCCTTCTAGTTTAAAATTACCCCCTATACTTACTAAACTCTGTCTGAAACCTGGGCTCGTTTAGTTGAACACAATACTAATATACTGGCAGGAATTTAGGAAAGACACACACCGAGATATCTCTCTATCTCTCTTTTTAGTTTTTATAACCATCTGCTGCCCTCTAGTGGAAGGGTATTTAATTGTTCGGTCTGTCACAGTGGCAGAGGAAGTAAATGAACAATAGTTTTCTCAACAATTAAGTGAAATTAGAAACCACTGAGCTACAGCGACTGGACGAACACTATTTTAGTCTTTTTTAAAGCTGAAACTTTTAGGGATATATATATAATGTTATTGTTGCCCTAACATCCAGTGTCCCGTCCTTTCCTTCATGTCTTTCCTAACCTGTGCCATGTTGTACCATCCCATAATATCCTCTCCTTCAATCCTGTAACCTCTTGTCCTTTCATATCACTTTCCTCCAACCTTCACCCTACCTATTTTTTGCCACTTCTATCCCTTCCTGCCTCCTTCTTGATCACATCACCTCCGTTTCTTGAATTTAATGTTTTCAATTAAACACGGCAATAATTCAGAGAAAGATTAAGATTCAACACTGAACGTCTGTTAGGATTTCTGCTCCTGCTCTATAATCAAATGAATGGCAACACAATGGACTCCAGAGCTCGTAACCAACCAAGATCTCATCTGTGATGTGACATTTACAGAACGAGTCAATAAACTAAAAATGTTCGGCGTAAGAAGCCGTGAAGAACTGACAACAACGTACGGCCAGCTCTGCAAACAAAATCTGAACGTAACTAAAAATACTTAAACAACTCAGGGTACAGACACCTGTACAATTAAAATCCCTGATAATTTAATCATTATGCACCATAGGGGCATCAGGGTTGTCATGTTGACTTAACTAATATTCAAATCCTCGGAGACTCTAGGGGGCAGAGCATGCTTCAGCATGCTGCCTGTTAGTCTAGTCATAATTAAAGCATTAAACGTGGTCTACTTTGTAAATCAACCTCGTACAAATGATCGTGTTCAACGGCTAAAGAAAAACAGTGTTATTTGTTTTGTATTTTTATTTATTTAAACCAGAGAGGAAGGTAATCTCCAGAAACAAAAAGCCTCCAATGCTTGGATTGAATCTCCACCCCAACCTCCCCTTCCCTCCCCTCCCCTAACCCCCTCCTCAAGAGGCAGCGGGGCACCAGCATCAGCCCAGCTGAAGCAGTGACATTTAGACCTCACAACAAGCTGAGAAGGCTAATGCCAAGCCAATACGTCTCCCCTTGTAGCTGCAGCTCAGAGGATGGCTGACCTTCTCCACCCAGTAATAACAAAAATACTCAAAATTCAAGGCAGATCTTTGAGCCACGCTGCAGTGAAGTATGGTGGCAGAACCTAAAACGCTGACCTTGGTGTTAAAAATACCTTTTTTTTTTCTTTCTGTAGTCACAGCATAAATGGTTTTAGCAGGATAACACCAAAGGGGTCAGTAGAGTTAGGTAGGTTAAATATATGGTCCTTTTTTCTTAAACTGTATCAATAAAACATTACCATTAAAAGTAATACAGCTATCATGTAAAATTAAAATCTGAGGCATACCATTATCATTTATGCCTAGCGACCAGCATGTGGCAGACACATCTGAACCATGTGACCAACACTTCAGGACAAGCCAGTGCAACACTGGCCCTTTGGGATTCACAAGTTGGCAGCTGGATCTGTGACACTCAAAAAAAAAAAAGAAATCCAAACAAATCTCTATTCTCATCAAAAAAAAATTTGTGTCAATATTCCTTAGTTACTTATATTACCCCAATAATCGTGTGCTATATTTTCGTTTTTATCAGCTGAGAATCCTCTCCCCAGTTTTGAGACTAACCTTCACCTTCTCCTTCTGTTGGTGATTTCATTCTTTTTTTTTATTGTACTGCGTTTTGTAGTAGAAGTATTCATCTATCTATCTACTAATCGTTCAATTTTCCACTGTTTTTGTGTTGCACTTGCAAAATAAACAAAAGAACTTACAATACAGGCCAAGATTATAAGTCCCATCAGATGAGCCACCATACACTCACAGTGATCTAAAAGACAGAGGTGGCAGGTTTACATTTTTTTTGTATTATGCTTCACATGCACATCCTCAGTATTCTCTACCTTACATTTCAATGAGCAAAGACCCAAAAAAATGTTACCTGGACATCCACACTCTCACCATGATATCTATATCCTCCCAAAGGCGCGGGCTTGAGGGAGTGCTATTAGCTAAGAGTACACTTGACACGTCGTGACTTGCTCACAGACCTTCACAACATTAATCTGCTGAAATGACCGGCCACCTGATTCCTTTGTTTGTCTGGGTATAAAAGCCAGCTGAGGTTGATCCTCTGAGCTCCTCCACCTCCTCCAGGCCTGTGTAAATAGATTAACCTTTACTCAAATCTCCTGTCTTTAATCATTAGCGAGGGGAAACCCAGCGGAGGTGATAAGCGGAGCCGATGATGCAGTGGCCGCCGGTGAAAAAAAACAAAACAAAAAAAAAAACAAGCATGAAAAGATGTTGCTCCGTAGCCAAAGTCACTGCATTTATTTACAAACACAAAGTGGATGGACATGAATGATGCACGGGCGAAGATGAAATATGAAAAGGGGCAGAAAACAGGTCGGTGTTATCAGTGGGGTTTTTTTGTGTTTCTATATTGACTGTTTTGTTGGTTCTGGTGCTTTTGTGTTTTGGTATTCTGGACTTTAGTTTGCATTATTTTACCTTGTTATTTTTGCTCTTTTTATGGGATACAAATAAATCTGTATCAGCTTTTCAACATAATAGATTCTACAAGTGTGAAAACACACTTTCAGGTTGTTTTTTTTTATCGTAGAAGTCAGATTAGCGGGGATTCAAACCCAAGACCTTCTGCTTGGCAGGCAAGAATCTTAAAATGTCTTAACTTTTTGAAAAGTTTTTGTAATGCTATTTATATACAAAAATTGGGATTGTACGATCAAAATATTTCAGACCCATGAAATCACTGCAGTAACTGTTCCATATGTTACATATATTCCTAGCACATTATCCTACAGTCTTTTTGGTCAGTGCCTACTCGTGTATATTTACTCAAATTACATCAGCTTGATTTTAACACCTTGTATAACCAATCAACAGACACTGACACGTTCTCTCCACGTTTCACTGCTCAGTGCTCCGTTGTGTCTGCTCCCTTTCCCCACTCTCTCTACCATTTAACTGAATGGCAGAGAGCAGCCAACCTCAGCCTCACGGCCTGACATATGGTGAGCGCTGCTCATAATGAAACAACCCCTGACAAATGGTGGCACTGACAGGTAACTGTTTGTGTCAGATTTATTATTTTACGTTCACAGATAAGGAAGGAGGATTACAGCGTCTAATGACGTAGGTGACAGCAGGTGGAAGTGGTTAAAGGTCAGTAAGTGGAATGTTGAGGAAATGATATCAACACTAATTAAAGAGCAGTTTGTTATGAGGATATGTCAGGCAACCAGTGAAGCAACTAAAACAACCAGTTGTACTGTCATGTGTGTCACTTGATTTACTTTTACTTTTTCATCGATTCCCTTAATTTGTAACGACA